GGCATTGAAAGCCATGTTTTAGTGTTTGCAGATGACACAAAACTTTGTAAAGTAATACAATGTGAGCAGGATATTGCTTTGCTGCAGAGGGATTTAGATAGATTGGGGGACTGGTCACTAAAATGGCAGATTAAATTTAAAGGGACACTATAGTCACCTGAACAACTTTAGCTTAATGAAGCAGTTTTGGTGTATAGAACATGCCCCTGCAGCCTCACTGCTCAATCCTCTGCCATTTAGGAGTTAAATCCCTTTGTTTATGAACCCTAGTCACACCTCCCTGCATGTGACTTGCACAGTCCTTCCATAAACACTTCCTGTAAAGAGAGCCCTATTTAGGCTTTCTTTATTGCAAGTTCTGTTTAATTAAGATTTTCTTATCCCCTGCTATGTTAATAGCTTGCTAGACCCTGCAAGAGCCTCCTGTATGTGATTAAAGTTCAATTTAGAGATTGAGATACAATTATTTAAGGTAAATTACATCTGTTTGAAAGTGAAACCAGTTGTTTTTTTCATGCAGGCTCTGTCAATCATAGCCAGGGGAGGTGTGGCTAGGGCTGCATAAACAGAAACAAAGTGATTTAACTCCTAAATGACAGTGAATTGAGCAGTGAAATTGCAGGGGATTGATCTATACACTAAAACTGCTTTATTTAGCTAGAGTAATTTAGGTGACTATAGTGTTCCTTTAATGTAGAGAAATGCAAAGTTATGCACTTCGGGGTCAAGAATGCACAAGCAACTTACACCCTAAATGGCAGTGAATTAGGGATAACCACACATGAGAAGGATTTGAGAATTATTATAGACAACAAATGAGGCAGCAATATGCAATGTCAATATGGTTTTGTCATGTATAAATAGGGGCATAAATTCTCAGGATGAAAATATAATTTTGCCATTTTATAAATCACTGGTAAGACCACACCTTGAATATGCTGTGCAATTTTGGGCACCTGTTCTACAGAATGATATCATGGCACTAGAAAAAGTGCAGAGACAAGCTACAAAAAATTGATAAAAGGAATGGAGTATTTTAGTTACGAAGAAAGGTTAGAAAATGTAAATCTCTTTAGTTTGGAAAAAAAGCACCACAGAGGGGATATGATAACATTATAAAAATATGTTCGGGGCCAGTACAAACCATTATCTGGTAATCTATTCAAAAAAGGGATATACATAGGACACAAGGTCACGCATTTAGGCTGGAAGAAAGGAGATTTAATCTAAGGCAAAGGAAAGGTTTTTACAGTAAGAACTATAAGGATATGGAATTCTCCGCCTGAAGAGGTGGTTTTATCAGTCCATACAGATGTTTAACCCCTTAAGGATGGCGGGCGTTCTACGCCATCCTTTTTGGGGTGGTCCTAAATGCCAGCAGGCGGCATTGAACGTCCCTGCCATCCTTACTACTTACCGGGTACCCACCGTTCCCCCCACTGGCAGTCACGATCCTGGGGTCTACTTTTTAATTATGTTGTTCCCCCAGATCAGGGCTATGGGGATATGTTGTATTTTGGGGTACTTATTGGACTTTGTAAAAACATGTTTTTTCTGCCTGGGGATAATTAAGTTACTTTATTATCTACCTTAATTATATCACAGGCAGAGGGGATGGATTGCTATATTGCTATAATCATTATAATCCCTTGGATTCTCTGAGCTCTTGTAAGAGCTATTCCTGCTTGACTCTCTGGAGGAAGAGAGGTTCACCCACTGGGACCTGGAGCCTTGTCGTAGGTCCAGGGTGGGTAGGAGATGGCGAGACCCAAACCAAGCTGCGGCGGTTGTGGGGTCTGCAGTGCTTATGGTGTCTGGTGGAGTGCTTGGAGCACTCAGTGAGCACTAGGAGCATCCGTAGGTGGAGGTACCCAACCAGGGTGCAGGCAGCTCCGTTACACCTCCTCTGCCGATCTGGCCCACCCCGGCCATGTGATCGCGAGGTCCTCGCAACTACATAGCTGGAATAGCCGGCTTATGCAGTGCCTGTAGGGAGCCTGCCTGAACTATCAGGCAGTCCCATTCATGCCTGTAAAAACCTTTTAAAACGTTAGTAAAAGTTATTAAACAGTTTTTAAATAAAATAAAAAGTATTTGTATATGTATATACAGGTGATACTCGAAAAATGTGAATATCGTGCAAAAGTTAATTTATTTCAGTAATGCAACATAAAAGGGGAAACTAATAGATGAGATAGACGCATTACATGCAAAGCAAGATAGTTCAAGCCGTGATTTGTCATAAGTGCGATGATTATGGCTTACAGCTCATGAAAACCCCAAATCCACAAATTTTCGAGTATCACCTGTATATATCATCTAAGTATTTTTATATACACATACATACATCATTAATAAAAGTGTATTTTAATATTAATATATATATATATATATATAATATTAATATTAAAAGACACTTAGAATGATGTTAATTATATATATATATATATATATGTGTGTGTTTGGCACATTTAGAGAACGTATGAAATAATAAGAAAGAAGCAAAATGTGGTAAGAGCAAAGTCATCTTAAATGCTCTACCACCAGCCGGCTTTTTGCTCGGTGGGCACGTCCTATTCGGTAACTTAAAAGTTTACCTTACAGAGCAGGGAAGGTTGAGACCCACCATGTCCATCTCTTGACATTCCATCTGCTCCCCAACCCTGTTGGCAAGGACACGCTCCCCACTAGCTGTGACGGAACAAAAAAACAGAAAATTTGGGTGGGTGGGTGGGTGGGTGGGAAAGAAGTTGTTTGCTTGCCAGAATCCCAAAAGGCACTGAGGTAAGATGATCCCTGCCCCACTACAAACCCATAACCACTCTCCTAAACACATATTGCCAATCATTAGCACCATCCCAACCAGTGGCGGCTCTAGACTTGGCAAGGCCTTAGGCGAAACTCATACATGAGGCCCCCACTAACACCATTATTGGAAAAAAACAGCAGTTGACTTGTGTGTGTATAAGAAGCTGTAGATATATTGAAGGGCGGGCTTGCAGTACTGGCTATAGAGAACTAGTCTTTGTATACGTCGTTGCATTGTCTACCTGTGTGTGCCTGAGAGTGTGTGTCTGGAAGTGAGTATCTTTGTATATGTATGCATGTTTCTCTGAGCATGTGTATGTTTGTGTTACTGCCTGTGGCATTAGGTTCATGGCGAAGCTATGTTTTATGACAGTGTGTAGAATGATTGCCTTCAGGGGGTGACAGGGTGAGTAAAGGAGTAACTGTGGCAGGGTGATTGTAAAAAGAGCAGGAGGGTGCCAGAGTGCGGAGAGTGGTGCCCGTGTGTTTAGAGGGAGAGATAGTGTGTATGGAGGGGGGGTGACAGTGTGTGCGGAGAGAGGTGACAGAGTGTGTGGGGGTGACATAGTGTAGGGGGTGGCATAGTGTGAGGGGGTGGCATAGTAAGAAGGGGGTGACAGTGTGAGAGGGTTACATTAGTGTAGGGGGGTGACAGAGTAAGAGGGGGGTGACAGAGTAAAAGGGAGTGACATTCGTGTAAGGGGTGTGACAGAGTAAGAGGGAAGAGACAGAGGGGGGATACCTAGTGTGAGGGAGGGTGACATAGTGTAGGGGGGGTGGGTGACAGGGTGAGAGGGGGGTGACAGAGTGAGAGGAGGTGACAGTATTAGGGGGTGACTGTGTGAGGTGGGGTGATGGTGTGTGGGGAGTGACAGGGTAAGGTGACAGAGTAAGGGGGGTGACAGTGTGGGGGGTCACATGGTGGGTGACACAGTAAGAGGTGGGGTGATAGAGTGAGGGGGTGACAAGTGAGGTAGCAGGGTGAGAGGGGGTGACAGGTGGGCTGGCAGGGTGACAGG